AGGAACAGCTGGTTGTAAACTGACATTTAAATGACAATTGTCAGTAGACAATAAGCATATGGTAGCTGCTTTCTCATGGGCAAACTGCAGCAGCGGAGGCACGGAGCAGCTGCACATGCTGGATAACAGCACTGCATTGATCTGCAGTTGGGAAGGTCATCTCAGTGACTGAAGACTGCGTTTTGTGGCTTGACTTTTTTCTTAAAAGCTAGAAGGACAAAAAAACTCTAGTGACACATGTCCCTATTTGTAATGAAAAGCAAGCATTTTGAGTCCTGGTTAAAATAAGAAACAGAACACAAATACATGCCAGCACCCCACCTCCTGAAAGTCACAGTCGTAATTAGGACTGGACTCTCTGCTTTTCTCTTTCTCCCAAGTCAGTAGTAACTGATATTACGACCATCAAGAAGCCGATTAGCGAGAAGGTGTATTTGTGTGTATTTTCAAAGCCGTTTGTAGGAGAATCAAATAGGGACCAAGTGCTTTCCTCATCATTAGTAATGCTTTATGGCAGTAAACTTAATAATGAGGGATGGTCTCAGTATTTCCCTGTTTTGGGACCTGTTACACTGATGCGTGCTTGGAAGACTTTGCGGTACAGCATAGGGCATTAATGGCACGTTACACCTTTGAGTATAGCCAGGCCAAGTATGCCAGTGTGAAATGAGCTCTAAAGAAGGTCTCCCTCTGAACCAACTGCATCGCTGCCTGCGCTTGACTTGTAACTCGGCAACCATATGCTTATATTCCACTGACAACTGCCATTTAAATGTCAGTTTACAAGCAGATGTTGAGAACCCACCTTTGTGCCATTAATTAAATCACAGCAAAGCAAAGTTTGAGGTTTAACGCTGCTCAGGATAGCTATGATGAGAGTAGCAGCAGAGTCCGGCAGACCTTGACGGACCGGGGCGGTCAGAGTTCAGTGGCAGGGGCAAAGCAGCATGGACGTGAGGTCACCGCAACAGCCTCGGTCAATGGGCTACGGCAGCCAAGTAAAGCCTGTTGTTGGCCTTTCCCGGTGACAATTATCATTTTGTAAACAATTCCAAGTCTTGTGGGATGGCTGGCTGTGGCCAGGATAGAGGGGAAATATTGGACTATAAAAGGAGACAGATTTAAGTGCTCAGGTGCAGGAAAGACGACAAAAATCTATTCAATAGACAAACAAGCAAAATCTGGAAGGGCGGAGAAGGCAGCCCTCTCTACTATACCAGACATTTGCATGTATTTAAAATCCTTCCCAATAAAGTTCATAATGAATTTAATTCAGTCCCCTATGGCCCAGAGGAACGTTCTGAGTAATAAAAAAGTATTGCTAAGGGACAGATGACTGCCAAACTCCTATTCTGTGCCAGCAATGCATATTTTTATTATTGGCACTTAAAAGCTAGGTTTATTTTACTACATAAATGATCCTTTGTCACATATTAAGAATTAATACTGCAAGATCCACTTTTCGGAAGTTACAATAACAATTCCCAAATGTAAATAATTGTTAAATTTGTGGGCTTTATTTTTAAAAAGTTTTTTTTCAGATTAAAATAGTAGTTGAACGTGGTAATTCCTATTTCGGATAAACTATTTTGCGGCTGGTTTATGGCTTTGCTCTTTAAAATGGTTTTAGTCAAGGATCTTTTCATATCTTTTTTTTTTTTTTCTTCTTACCTTGAAATATCGACATCAATGTTAAATGAATTATAAGCTCAAACACTTACTTAAAGGTCGAGATGTATTCACTTACACATAGACAACTAGATAACACGAACTCTCCCGGCTTCCGTTGGCATAGTCTAATGCACTTTTGATGATTAAACCGAGTGATTCAAACGTGTGCTGGAAATTCCAAGCACCAGTGATGGAGGTTGCTGTACCACAGCATTACTTTGTTTATAAACATCATTATTCCTTGGAAGATAACTCTCTGCTCCCATCTAGCATGTCACTTCAGTGCAGTCATCAGGAAAATGGAAGAAAAAATGGTGCTACTAATTTTTTTCACTTTAATAAGGAGGAGTGGAAGGGAAAGTTGGATATGAGATGAAATGTGAAGGAGTTAATTCCTAGCAGGCAGCAAGCTCTAGGGAAAAGTGCATCAGTACTGCTGTAAGATGCGGCTTGGTTTACACTCCAGCTGATACGATGTTCTTTGAGCACCTCCTGCACATTACAGTACAACACAAACTTCTGCAGCCTGTGTACAAGTTCAAATTAATGGCAGCAGTGATTCTGTCAAAATATTTAATATGCCAAGGTCTGAACATAAAGCTTTCTTCTGATGCACTTCAGTTTTCTTCATACCTCCATGTCAAGCGTGAACAGTTAGAAAAAAAATACTGTGAATTTGTCAGCATGTTTATTTCCACGGTACATCTCCTTTGAATCAACACGCATTTTTTTTCAAGTATAAAAATGAACAATTACTCATCCCTGGAAAACAACAAAGTTTTACAGACATCTCCTCCCACCCCCCCAAAAGACTAACTTCACCACACTGCAAGGGTACAAGCAGCTCATTTTTTACTTGCTGTACACACAACGGAATATTCAGTTCCCTGGAACACAAGGGGCTGAGGAATATAAGGGGGAATCTTAAGCATTTGGCAGTTTGAACTAAAAAAGAAAGGTCAATGGCAAAGAAGTCAGATACAAGCAAAAAATCAGACATCTCCGAGCACTGCATTTGAGCTTTAAAACTGAATGCGTGCATTGTTTGCTCACAGTTTTTCGCAGCAGCATTCATAACTTAGGAAACTATTAACCAGCATGATGAAGTATCCTGTTTCTAACTAAGAACAAAAAAAATTACACTAGAGAGCTTATTTTCTTTTCCCTTGAAAGAGATCATCTGGTAAAAGTTGACAAGAATGCTGCAGACCTGGGTTTGGGGGCTTCGCGTTTAAGTACAGCGGAGCAGCAGCGGCCCCTCACCGTCTTTTATAAGGCCTGTCACAAGTCACTGCTCAGGGCTCCTTGCTTTCTGCTGGGCGGGCCATGCGAGGACCGCTATCATCCCTGTATTTGTTATGCTGACAGCAGAGAAAAAAAAGCACTGAAGGCTAGAAAATTTGCAGGACTAATACAAAATTCAGATCAGCTTATGACAGAGACACAACAGGTACTGAAAAATGAGGCAAGAAGGCAGTGGAAGAGTAGGGCAGCCAAGCAAAGGGCCATGGAATGTGTAGGCATGGGAATGAGAATAAAGAGACTGTGGCTGAGGAGAGTTATGGTAGTTACAGAACAGAAAATGGCAAAGGTAAATGCATTTATCACCCGCCTACTAAGAACAGCCTTCCAGGGCTCTTAATCTAGTGCTGCGAGTTTAAGATATGCTACTTCCCCATCCTACCAAAATTATTGTGACCTTAAGTGATTACAGAAGCAAATGATCAAAAAGACAACTTTTATTTGGTAGCTTATTCACTGAGATCATAAATTTGTTAAAGTGATTATAGCTTTCATTAAGAAAATCAATTTTTTTTTTTTTTTTTTAAAAAGACATTTCATACCTTTTCTTTGCTTGGGGGTGGTGGTGGAGAAAACTTGGACATAACCTGTTTAAGCCCTGGCAGTTTCAGAGTTATGAAAAATCTTTCTTCTCTTTTCCGCTTCCCTCCTCATCACATTCACGTCTTCCCACTAGTGAAATATCCTTTTCCTGGCTTGAAAAATCAGTGTGCGCTATTTCAGAATTGCGTTCCTACAGTGGTGTGTTCAACGGGGGCAATCTGACTTAGTCTAGACAGGTAAGAATTGAAACCTTTCTGTGCTTCTGTTGAGAAAGGAGGCTAGACGTCAGAGGAGATTAACAATATCACAAAAGTCTACTGGAAGTGAAAAGTGTGCACCATCAGGATACTCTCTACTGTTTTGTGCCTCTGCAGCAGGGAAGCCAACCTGCAACTTCTGCTCCCTCTAAGCGTTCATATAAGGCACGTTTCCTGCAAAGAGAAAAACAAAGTGGGAACAGTAAACTGGTGGCTGTGTCGTGTTTCAGAAGTAATGCTTGGTGGGGGGGCACTGAGAGGAATTATTTTGTGTACCTGGTATTTCATGCAAGACGTCAGCATTTCCAGCGCTTATGTGCACCAGAAGCAGCGGATGCCAAGGAGGATTTGAGCGTCCCCTGCTCCGTCTCCTGCCCGAGAGCAGAGCCTGCTCAAGTTCACCCATACGGTTCGTCAGGGCTGCCGTCCTGGCGACCGCATCGCCGCTGCGACCCTAGTGAACGCCAGTCCACAGAGGCAGAATTTTCAGACATCCAACACTTCAGTCACCCCCTTTTTAATACCATTAGTGATGCAGCAACATGTATTTATATTCACATATAAATACAAAATGGTCAGATACCACGTTTTTAAGCATAATCTATAATCTGAAACTGCTTACACTTTCATGACTAGGCTTGGGTTTTTCTCATTTACATTCATAATTTAATTCCACTGGAATTTGATTTTTAAGAAAGCCCAACATATCTTAATTACCATAAAAAGATCCATACATATTTACTTAAAAATATCTTCTGTAAGAGGAAATTTACCAAAAATAACACGAAATATATTATTATGAATACTTTTTCTTTTTTTGTAAAGTACAAACTAGCATCTGATCTCTTCTGGGTATTGCCTGATCTAATATGGCTATAGGTTCTATTTATTTTGTTTGTTTTTCAAAGTAAAGGGAAAGACGTAAGAAATGTAAGAACACAAACCAAAATAAAAATGCATTCTTTCCAAAGATACAGGTATCAATGAAAGAACACTCTGAAAACCAATAAATGACAATAGGTAGAAAGAAACACTATCCAAGCACTATGCAGTCTTTTGTCAGAGCATGTGCTGCAATGACCTTGTAACAGTTATTAAAAACAACAAACAAAAAAAATGCTACTGGCAGAAAAAGCTGTCAAGCAAAACATTGAAAAATTGGTACTATTTCCTAACAGGTAAGTGCAGAACTGATACTAAGTATTTTACGGGTTTTTCCCCCCATGTATGCACACATCTTTCTTCCTCTTCCTGTTCGCAGGACTGATTGTTGCAACTCTGGCAATATGCTGGATGCCAAACCAGGTTAGAAGGATCATGGCTGCTGCTAAACCAAAGCAGGACTGGACTGTCCCCTACTTCAGAGCGTACATCACGCTTCTTCCCATTGCCGACATCTTCTTCTACCTCAGCTCAGTGGTGAACCCCCTCCTGTACAACATCTCTTCTCAGCAGTTCCGCAGTGTGTTTCTGCAGGTCCTCCGCTGCCACCTGACGATAGAGCATGCCAACAAGGAGAAGTTTCTCAGAGCCAACCTGAGCTCCAGAGCAAGGAGCAGTCGCTCTCTGCGCCCACTGCTCTTCATTTCATCTAGGCGCAATTCTTCTACAAGGCGCAGCAACAAAGCTTTCTTAAGTACTTTTCAGAATGAGACCAAGCCTGACTGCAGTCCACAGAAACCAGGTCTTGAACCACCGGAGCCCAGCTTGGAAGTAGTGCCACTAGAGCCTAGCTCGGAGCCCAGTCCAGATGCACAAAACGGCCTTTGTGAACATCAAGTATGACTTCATAAGGCAGAGTTAACGATTAGCAAAGAACTTAAAAACACGGAAATTAAAATGAGTGAGGAATTGACTACACCTTAAAAGGAGTAACACGGATGGATTTGTTTCCAATTACACAAAAAGAGCAGGAGTTCTGTATCCTGCTGCTAGGATTTTTAAGTGCACACTGGAAATTCAATCTGCTAACTGAATTCATTAGCTGCCAAAAATATCAGCCCCTCTCTCCCGACAGCCACTGAACTTCCCTCGCTGTTGACAGGGATTTTGAAACAAACAGAAAATAATTGCAGTGTCTTTGAAGAAAGGAGGAGACAGAACAAACTGTGTCAGGGCAAAAAACTTGCTTGAAGTTTAGCAATACAAAAACAAAAGAGCCAAATTAAGGAGCAGAACGGTGGTTGTCACCCGTGCCCTCGGTACCACGCTGGAATTCCCCCTCTTCTTTGGCCGGGGTCCATTGCAGAGTGGAGTGTTGCAGCAGCTGATACAAACAGAGTTCACCTTCCCTGGAGAACAGAAGGACTGGTACCCAGCGGAGGCTATCAGACACGCTGCTGAAGATGCGCAGGATTTGCGATACATGATTCCTGTGACACAAAGCAAAGGTTACTTAGTTTGGTACGAACACGGTTTTGCTCTACAACGCGATTCTCGCTTGAAAACTGTTGCAAAACCAGTTTACATCTCCAAAGTGATGCTGGTGATTAAGGCAGTCACCTCAGCTGTGACACGGCTAACAGCTCTGCGCTGCAGGAGAAGCACAGTCACTCTGGTTTGGATTTTTCTTTTATTTGGAACCAAAAATATTACAAACCTGATTTACATAATGTATAGCAAATGATGCATTTTATAACCAGAATTCTTCATCTTTTGGAAGAACCTGTTTGAATAGCTATAACTGAAATGCAGTTAGTTTGAAAATGACTTTTGTTTCTGTTGCTGAACATATCCGAGTTGTTTAAGGTGTCTAAGCAATTACAGTTTTCTATGCTGTTAATTTGTCTTTCGAGCATTTTTTTTCCTTTTCTTGTTCATTTGCCACATAGAGACAAGTAACCAAGAGTAAGAGGAGAATGACTATCAGCAAAACTTTCATCTCCCCCCTCCTCTTCTATTTTTTTAGAGAAAAACCTAGAAGTGCTTTTCCAGGTAATCTCAGTTCTTGCCGTCTTTGAAGCTTAATACCCTCAACAACAAAAATTTCCATTTGTACAGAAATGGCTTTTCTGAGTTGAAAGTCTTCCCTTTTTGAATGCAATTTAATTTAATCTAATTTTAATTAATAATCTAATTAAATTTATAATTTCTCAAATTGTTTTTACCCAGAAAAAAGTACATTCTGATGCACATAGCTGTTATTTTAAAACGGTTTATAAAGGCTTTAAAATACATAGTTGCATTTTCCCCTGTCACAGTGGAAAATGGTTGTGGCAGTTCTACCTCTCATTACTCTCACATTCTACCATGCAAGTGACACAGTAGAAATCGTGTGTTGGAAAAACGCAGACATAGCACATCAATAGATAACGGAGGTTTGCTCATATTGCCTTGCAGTTACAAAAAGAGGTAAATATTTCTAAGGGTAAATATTTCTAAGGATAATAAAATTACTATTCCTTTTGAATATGGGATCCTCAATTTTTTTTTCTTCTGAAGGGCATGGGAGCAGAATTCCCTTGGAGAACGGTACCTCTGCATCCTGTAGCACGGTCCCAGAATGTTTTTAAATACACAGCAATTGAGACTTTTATTGGAGGGAGTGAAGCAGGAGTATGATCTGTAGGTACTGAACTTACAGTACCTGCAGATATTTCCAAAGTCCCCTGGGACTGAACAAATGAGTTCTACAGCACCCACCCAGCGACTGCCACTGCGCTACTAGGTGCTGTGTATGGCAGCAAAACACTGTTTGGGTTATGCTTAGAAAGAAGGATTTCCTGTCTTCAGAGAATTTTAATTAAAGCAATTCTTTTATGCTGTCACAACATCGCTGCCATCCCAACAATGCAGGTGTTTCCCTGTTTTGTGCTCTCCCTCTGCAAATCTAAATTCTGAAATGTGTTTTAAGGCTATCTGTCTAGTTAAACTTACGAAAAGAAGCCCTCAAGTCAGTGTTAAATCTTCCTCTGTCTCCCGTGAGCGTCAATCAATCAACACAGCAGGTAGAGCCTTTTCTCAAGAAGGGAGCTACAGGCTGTTCTAGCTGTAACAGCAAAGGCACACAGATCAAGAGGCACAATCTTTATTACTATAGTTTGCAAAAAGAAGAGAGCTCTGACTGTTGACAAACCACTGCTGTCAAAGAGCCTCAACTGTGCTGCCACTGATAGGCTTACAATACCAAAACCTCGGCTGATGTTTCCCACAAAGACCTGGTGCTTTGTCCATGTTCCTCCTGCAGTCTTCCAAGAGCTGAGGCAGACATGACCCGTCCCATGGCCATGATTAACTTTTCTCCTTCCCCTTCCCTCTTGAGAAAGGAATCCTGTATTCAACGGAACTAGGCACAGCGATTGTTCTTCCATCTCTAATCCCACATCTCCTCATCACAGGTTCCTTCCCTGCAGCTACAGCAAGCCACGAAATGTGTCTGTTCCTCAGTCTTCCATATGAACAGCAGCGAATCTCGACTTTCCCCTCAAAGACCAAGCCTCTAAAAAGCTTTTGATGTTGGCAGGTTTCCTATTGCTGTTGCTCCATAGATCACTCTGTTCCTGCCATTTCCTTTTCACAAGATTCCTGCAAAGCCCAGTTCACAATTTGAACTAGTAAGTGATTTATTAGTTTAGGTCCCTGAAATATCATATAATTTGCAACTTTCCCATAGACTAGAATTGTTCAGTGCTGTGAACAATTAGAGTGCCCTCTGAGGCATGGTTTTCACCAGGCAACTCTAGGAGACCTCTCCTGCAAAAAATCGTAACTCCAGGTGTTTACAACAGTTCTGTTCTCCAGGATAAATTCCACAGAATAATCCTGAGCTCCTTTTGAAGTCAAAACACAGTATTCCTGCACAGACCAAAATTTTACAATTCAAAGTTTCATGCACAGCTGGACCATGTTCATGCCTAAATAGAGAGAATAATCTAACTAGTAGCAAAATCCCATTGTAACGCTTCTCTTGTGGCTTTTCTGTAAATATGTCTTACAGCAGGAAATTCCACTGTTTATTCCCATTCCCAGCTCTAGTAATCTGAATTGTAACAAGATTCTTTAGTTATGTAAAGTCAACACTCCTATCAGCTTTTCAATAGCTACTTGGCTAAAGACATGCCCTTCACATCCAATTTTTTTTTAAGTACCAATAGATTCTTTTGAGCTCACAAATCAGCTGCTATCATACACTAATTGTGCTTTTTACAGAGCATCAGATATGAACTAAACTTGATCAGCAGAGAAAGGCTGTGTTTTTTCTCTAATTCTGCAGCATCCTTATAGCAAGATACAATGAAAACATGCATAGAAGACTGATGGAAAAAAGACAGAATGTTAACACTACAGGAGTGACACTTTTAAAACACTTCAGCCGTGACTTCACTATTTTTTATTTTTTTTTTTTAACACCATGGGTGTGAAAAAGCAATGACACTTCAAATAGTATGAATTAAAGAAAGGCAGGAAACATACTCTTAAATCAACTTCCTATCATATTGTGATTCCAGTTTAATTGTGGTAGGAAACAAATTAGTACAACTGACTTCCATGGTTTGATGCCAGGGACACTACTCCCCTTGCTCCAGCAAACAGGTTCACGTACCCCAGTTACTGCAGTTCACCCACTGAGTTCAGACAGGACAGCAGCATCCCTTCTGGGTTATCTCTAGAGATTAATTGCTTTTTTATCTCAAGGACGTCTTTCCTCACGCTCCTCTCTTGCAGTGGTTTACTGTACAGTTGAGCCAGTTCTGAAACTATTTCTGAGATGTTCCCGAATCATTCGCCAGGCGCAGGCTGAACTGCAGACAGTTCTTCAAAGTGGTTATCTGCCTCGTAAGACTCATACCACAGACATAACTGCTAATTACCAGATATTCTTGCTTGAGCAATCAGCTTGATACATTCATTAACACATCACCTAGAAATATAATTGCAAACCCTTCTGGCCTTCTACCTCAGATTGTTCCGAGTTGCTGGCGAGGCAAGGAGACTACACGTTTTACACTCTGCTCTTACTGGGATGGGGTCATTCCCAGCTACCTACCCTCAAGAGCCTACACCAGTGCTCAGTTAGTATACTTACTAATATACACTTAGTGTATTTACTGCCCAATCTCTTGATGGATGAGCATGGAATAATTTGTCCTTTTTCACTGATTCAGCAGCCCCCCCCAACAGCAGTGCGGGCTATCCATAGGCACTACAATGATGTTTTACTATGAAGTGCCTACTACTGACCAATTGATTTTCCTTCATTTTGGTTTCAAGGTTTGTGGGGTTGGCTGCGGATGTAGTTCAAGTACAAACACTTTTAAGAAGAGAGGGGAGTACACAAGGCTAGAATATCTGTGTGATAATGCAGTAATATTCCACACTGCCTCCTTCCACATACACTTACTATAACTATGATTTAAAAAAAAAAAACAAAAACAAAAAACACAACAAACCAAGAAAAACCAAAAAAAGCTTTGAGTTTAAATTGGGCATTGAAAATTTATTTGTAGACTGAGCAACTTGCCCATCATTACACTCTCTGTGCCCCACGTGTGATCATACGCTTAGATAGTCTCGAGGCCCAAACTACTATTTCTGGAGGATTTCAGCCTCGTTCCATGCAATAAAGTGATGGTGTAAATCTCAAGGCTTTTCTATAGTCCCTCCTTGTAATATCCATTTTCTCACCTAGATCCATTCTATACACAGCCCTGCCCACCTGCCAAGCTCAACCCCCCTGCTTGGCTGCAGTCTAGCCCTGTGCATCCGCCACTGGCACTCTGTTTTGGCCACATGCAGATCCATTCAGTCTTGATAGCAACAAACAATTCATGCTACAATTTATTCAA